GGAGTAGGAGTAGGAGTAGCAACAGCAATTTCCGGTATGCATTTGACAACACCCTGAACTGTTGCAAACTCAAATAACAACACTCTGATGCCAATAAACCCTTTTTGCAATCCAAAAGTTTCAGCATTGGGCCGCACAACAAGCGACATACATCCAAAGCGACCCTCAATCTGGAACCCCATTCAACCTCTGTCTTTCTTTCTTCAAGATGCATTCAGCACATATGATCACCCCCAGGCTGATGCTGCACCAGCGTGGTGCACGTTCGCCGCAGTCTGCACCTGGGTCGTGGCTACAACTTTGGCTTTTGAGATCCGACCTTCTTACATCTTCAAGTTCCAGTTTTCGAAAACCTGGAAAATAATCCCTGCGCGCTGCCTGTATTGTTTCTCTGTCACTTGATTGATAAGGCTGTAGGTCCAGGCATGACCTGAATCACTCCAAACCAACGGCGACAGTATCTCTGAGCCTACTCATCCCCAAATCCCAAACCCTAAACCATGATTCTGCGACAAAGCACAGGTGCGATTCTCCGGGCGCTGCAGAAGCTCTTTCAGCAAGGGATTCATGGATGTCCGAGTCTGCAGGTTCGAAGTTGCAGCGCTAGTCTAGGAGCCTGCCTTATAGGAGGCAGGCAAGGTCAGTCCTTTATACCTGCACAGTGTAATTTTATCCTCAACTTTAGTAGCTTATATAAGCTGTCATGGTTGGTCTTGTCTGCGGTTGCAAGCAGTATTGCTTGCCTCTGACTTTGCTCTTTGCCCATCTGTCCAAGTTTGTCTGTCACTGGTACCACACCGCTTGGGTCCGGCTAGCAAGCAGCAACAACCTTCATGAGCCAGCAACATCGCACCACAAAGAGAGTCCACTTGACCGACTGCCACGGGCTCAAAGGCTTCTCTGCACACAGAAACCGCAATTACGAGCTTGCGAGCACCATCGGCGGGATGTTCTCACTAACCCGAGAATCAATCATGCCCGGCGCAGGATAGGCCTCTCGAAACCCCAAAGCAGTCAGCGGGTCTTGAAACCCTGTTGAGGGGGCGCAAGCCTGTGCCTGTTTGCCCTGTGCCAATAAAAGCCTACACCGTCCTCGTCGGAACAACCTCCGCGCTTTTCACCAGGCGTACCTGACAGCCAGGAACCCAAAGAGATCTCGCAGCAGTCACAACAGAGCACATAACAGACCTATCTCCGGCTTGGTCCTCAGCCAGCAAGCTTAAGCCACTCAGCCCGGGGATGAAGGAGACATATACACAGGAGCCAAACTCAGACTGTGCAGGGGCTTGAAGGGGAGCAACGTGGAGTCCTTTTCTTGTGCATGTCCTGTCCCCTGCAAAAAAATATCCCCAACAAAGAGACGAATTAGAAGATCCAACGCCCGGCCTCGACGAAGTGCTGCGGTGCTCCTGACATGTCCTCCTCCTCCTTCTTCTCATTCAACTGGCCGTGGAGCGATGGAACCGAGGAGACGGAGTCCGAAGTCCGAAGCCGCTCACAAAAACACGCGAGGCTTCGGCTTGGAGTTTAGGCCTTTGGGGATATCCCATCTGATCGGCTGCTTTAGACAAGTCTAGCGACACTAGAAATTGCAACTCGAACCGGCTTCGGGGTCTAGCGGAGCCATGGAAAGCCTATGTAGCCTATGCAATACCAAGTTTTTGTTAGTTTAGAGATGGGGACAAGGGGCGGCGCAGCAGCTTTTGCCCAGTCTTCCGCACAGGCAACTGTTGAACGTGTGTCGTGGTGTCTGAATTCGAGCGACATCGGGGTCGCAGCGCAGCGCACGCACTAACTACGCTGCTTGCAAGGACAGGCTGTGCAGCATGCATAGCAGAAACGGTTCAGCAATCCCGGCAAAGCTGCTGCGTGCAGACCCCCTAGGCCAATAAGGGAAAACATTGAGTGAAATGGTGAGATGGACAGTCACTTACTGCGGCGCCGAGGGTTCCAGCATTGATTTACTTCGATCGATTGAAGGTAAGGAACAAGATCAAGCGCGTTATGCGCTTGCGAGGAGCCTCACGCCTTCTGCACCACCTGGACGCACATTGAACATCCTATGATGGCACAGCAAAATGGGCAAGAGGCCCATTTCCACAGAAGCACCGCAACTTTAAGTATGGTAATTGCTTGGGTGGCATTTGCATGGCTTAAACAGTGCTTAGCCAACCCAGCGAACACTGTCGCATGGTTCCTGGCAGGGTTCCCCTTGTGATGTGGCGCTTGCGTGCCTATTATTTCCGACGGTCTTATGCGATGGAGCTTACTCACTTCACCTTTCCTGTTCCACTGGTGCGCGACATCGCAAGGACTCCCGTAAATCCGGGAGCTACTGGAACTCCTCACCAGAGACACACCCCTCACTCGGAACAGTGATACTTCAAAGATGTAACACACGTCGCAACCTGAGTGATAACAGCACGCAAAGGCTTAGGATCTTCAAGGCTGGAGGCTCCGCGCCGTGTCTCTGCAGATGTCACGCCAATTCCCAAAGCCAAGAAGCAGAAGAGGCAGGAAGATCAGGAAATTAAATGCCTGGTTAGATGCCGCACTTGCCACACCCTGCGCCAAGCATTCGTAGCCATTCCAGCAGTAGCCTGCAAGACGACGTGACGGGAAGTTTGCCTGTCCCAATTTTGGGAAGTAGGTGGCAATCGAAAGCCTTTGAAGAGTGCATTCTTCAAAGCAAACAAGTCAGACCTGAACCTAAAGCACTGTGAGCCTCACGTCCCACACCCCACTCTGCTCCCCTAAGACTCTAAGAGTTCAGCACCAGGAAATAAGTCGGCTTCGGAGTTCCAACTCCGAGTCAAAACTGCTCAATCTCTACCCGTGCAACGAGGCATCATCCACTGCCCCTTGCCGTAAGATTCAGAACGAGAGCCAGTCAAACCCCAAAGCGATATTGCGCACATGGACAAGACTGTTTTAGCTTCCGACCCACAAACTCTGTCCCACCCTTTCCCTGCCTAAATCACAAAGGCAAAGTTCATTCTCGCAAACCGATCTTTCCGGCGAGCAAGAGTAGAATGAGCAAGTCGTTAGCGTGTCTCTCTCACCTTGGAGAAGCACTTGACTTCAGGCGCCGTTCAGGATCACAAGCTCGAAGACACCGTCATTTCATGATCAGGTTTAACTCAGGGCTCGTACGGTTGTGTACGGTTGTGACGGTGACAGGCTGCGCACCAAAATGCGCTGAACTAACTTACGGGGCCCCAAAAGCTAGCTAGTTGCCTGGTCTTGTCAATTGATGTACCGTTTGCCAGCTCTTTGAGGAGCCCTAACATACACTTACCAAAAGCCCACGACTTCAATCCGCGACTAGCCAGCAATCCATCTAGGACACATGCCATGGCCCGAGAAATCACCGTTCCGGACAGCGGAGCGAACCAGCAAAGCAACCAACAGTTGGAATGAAATTTTACAAGTCCGGTCAAAGTCCCCGATTGTGGTGGCGTGTGTTGCTCTGTCTGCTGTCGGACAGTTTGTTGATATGCTCGGCCCTTTGATATGCGACCAATGTGGCGCTCCTACGTGTTGCAACCGATGTTCCCGTCAGTGCGTCGCTCGGCTTTCGGTCGATCTGTGTGTCGGTCGCGACACATCCCACCCTCTACGCATCCTATTTTCAGAATGTCGGCCAAGGCATAGTGCCGTTTGCTGCACCACTGGCCCACAACGGCAACAGCAAACCACAAGCAGATCGCAATCAACCCTTTCCTCGGAAATAGCTGCTGGGCATATCAGCCGACACAAGAACCTGGAGGCCTCCGAACCGGACGAACACCCCGCGACGCTAGAGGATGAAGGAAGACGACCGATGCACCGACTCAGACGTCATGCCTAGCATTACTGACGCTATGACAAGGCACATGGCTCGGCTTGCCGTAATGCACTCTGCTTGGTCAGGACCAAGAACAGCTCGGGCTTGAAGGACCTCAGCCACGCAGAGCACTGGCCAGGTTCCTGCTACGCTGCTCCGCAGAGAGCAACCCCAGGCATTAGACACGTACCGGATAGAAAAGCCGACTCCAACATGCCACGAACCGATCCATTCACCCACCGCGCACTGCAAATTGTACAACTGCAAGACACCTGTGACGCTACGTCGTGAAGGCTCGAAGATCAGGATAGGTCGGGCGCTTTTTGAAAACAAGCGAATGTTGGCACCAGCCTAGAAGTTCACACTGCCCGAAATACAGAACCAATGCCGCATACAGGCTCAGCGACGCCGTCAAGGAACCACTGCTTCTAGATGTGTCAAACCCATCTGTGACCAATCGGATCGCATCCTAGGACCTCACTTATCATGTAGGGACCTTTGAAACATGGTGGCATCTGTATATAGGGACTGTAAGGAGACATTCTCACCAAATGTTCCGACCTCCGTTTTCACCAATCAACCGAGAGCGCTTGAGTCACCCAGCACGCAGCGCCGCTGCAACAAGGCCCAGATAACCGAAGCAGCTCAAATTCCAAAAACTTCCATCAGCACCGGTGGGGTGGATGCTACCCTGAAAAAGAGACGAGGCGAGGCACATGGTTTTGTTGAATCTCTCAACATATTCGGCTTCCGCTGCAGTCGTAGGTGGGCATAGGCCGCCTCACCGTGGTGGCACGGTTCTCGATCAGTCCTAATGTCCTCAAGTTTCTTATGAACACACACACACACACACATACATATGTATGTATGTATGTATGTATGTATGTATGTATGTATGTATGTATATGCATGCATGCATTCATGCATGTATGTATGTACGTATGTATGTACGCATGTATGTATTTACGTATGTACACATGTATGTACGTACGTATGTATGTATGCAAGGATATCCTTCATAACTCACAACGCATCACACTGATTAAGGCTTTGTCGTTGAAAGTTCAGGGCCCGGGGCTGTGTTGAAGTCATGTGAATCTGAGACTTGGGAAATTCTGCTCGCCACTTGTTCGTGCAGCTTTGACCCATGCAGCCACCGCAGAAGGAAGAGCAAAATCAAAATGCAGGCCTGACAGCGGGTCAGTGACGATTCCTGCACCAGTGACGCTGGTGAAGATGACGCGGAGCGGGAAGGTATAGCCTTCTGGTACGAAACCTGCGAGTGATTTCATGCTTGCTCTGTGGAGGGTTGAAATCTTCGGCTCGGTCGGACATGACGGCATGACTAGGTGGAACTCAGATCTGCAAAAAACACCCTAAAACCTGTCAGCCGCGATGAGGCATGGGACTTTGAGGTTTGTGTTGGGGAGTTGCATGCAAGCGAGCTGCCTCAGCGTTCAAAGCATATCATAAACCCTATCGGCCCTATCTGTGGTTGGCAGGATACACAGGAATTCAAAAGAGATGCAACCGGCGAACAACATCAACCTGTGCTTTTGGTAGTTCATGTGTATATACATATATGCGTATATGTAGGTTTGTGTGCGTGTTTGTGGAACGAAACTTGATACTCGACACAAATAGCCATTTCATACCACATACTCGCGAACAAGACTGCATGTCAAGTCGCCGACGGGTTTAGAAATGGGCGACTACATGGGGAAGTGCATATCAAGATGGCCAAGCAGCATGCAGTACAAGCACATGAACATACAGGCTCTGCGTGATATGTCGCGATGCCGTAAACAATCTAATCATGGCGGCTGTTCACCATCTTCACCACCCCACATGCATCATTGCGCTTATGATGCCTGCAGAATTAATGAAACCTCCGTGACCTAGTCTTCGTTTCGGCGTGTAGTAAGTGTAGTAGTGTTGATCTGGCGCCGCATGCTCATACGCCGGTCCGTATGCGACTGAAAGCCCCTTCGAATCTTATGCTGTCAACGGCACTTCGGAGTCCAGCAATCGAATTCCGTCTGATGCTGACTGGTTCATTGCATGGAGTCCATTCGGTAAAGCAAAAAGAAGAGCACCAACAGCAAAGCGAGCACCACAATGTCACGAGTCACCCTCACCATGCCTTCGAACCCCACCCCTGAGCATGAGAAGAAAGCCTGTGGCTGCCAGGTCATCCCGGCTCAAGCTTTGGGGAGTCGTGTAGCTGCACCCCGTAGGAGTGTTGCCTGGCTCAACAGGCTCGGAATAAATCTTCGCTTCTTGGGGCGAGGCTGTAGAAGCACACGAAGGACCTAACCCCACCACGGTCAGAATACTTCAATCAGCCAGCACTTCGCCATGCTGAGTCCCCCAATAACTGCTGCTTACTCACTCCTCCTCCTCCTCGTCTAACTACTGCTACTACTACTACTACTACTACTACTGCTACTACTACTACTACTACTACTACTACTACTACTACTACTTTACTGCTACTCCTACTCCTACTCCTACTCCAACTCCTACTCCTACGCCTACTCCTACTCCTACTCCTACTCCTGCTCCTACTCCTACTACTACTACTACTACTCCTCCTCCTCTTCCTCCTCCTCCTCCTCCTCCTCCTACTACTACTACTACTACTACTACTACTACTAATTACTCCTACTGCTACTGCTACTGCTACTGCTACTGCTACTGCGACTGCGACCGCGACTGCTA